TTTTTCACTCACTTGAACACCTGCTTTTTGAGGTCCCTGCATGTCCCTCGGGGAGTTCCATGGTGGAATTTCATCAATCTGTTGTTTGCTGCACTGTCCTTTGGATCGCAAAATCCATTTATCTCTTTCCATGTCCAGGCCATCAGGGTTAGGAGTCACCTATGCAAGTCCCTCGCTTGTCTCTGGGGCCTTAGCAAACTCACCTCTGAGCCTAGGTGTCAGGGAAGCTCATCCCGGAGGCTCTCTGTAAAGAAAGAGGCCCCAGTGTCCATTGCAGCTCCCAGAAATGGCTGTGGGCCTGAGTGCCTCTTGCTAGTCCAACCACTGTTGCCTGGTTTATGTCATCTGTGTTGGTTAATAATTTGGTAGAAATTTGAAGAGTAAGTAGTCATTCACTAACATGCAGTAAAAGCCTTTCCCAGCTTCCTCTTGAATTTGCTTCTCTCTGGGGCCTCTGACCATGCTCTCACCCTTTGATGGCTTTTATTGTCATTCTTCTTTTCAGATTCAGACTTTGGATGTGTTCACAGCCCAACCTTCACCTGGGTAGAACTCAGGATTTGATAGGGCCTCTGGACCTGTTCCAGATATATGAAGAGAATAGTCCCCTCTCTGATGCTCCCTGCTCTTTGTTCCTTCTCCCAGATTTTCCCAGCAATTCTCGGCCCCACATTCTATTCCTCTTCGTCCTTCCACGGTTTGCAGAGGAGGACTGTCCAGTCTTGGATGGACCACATACCTCACCTACTGAAAATCTTCTCTTGGATGCCAAAAGCTACTCATGAGTATATAAGCTATTAATTAATTAACTTTTTGGTACTGGGGATTGAATCCAAGACTCATGCATGCTAGACAAGCATTCTACCAATGAACCACACCCCTATCCCTTTTTAAAATTTCAAGACAGGATCTTGATAAATTGCCAAGTTGCATAGGTTGGCCTCAAAGTTGTGATTTTTTTTTTTCTCATTGATTTTATTGGTACATTTTAGGTATACAATACAGTTACATTCATTACTGGGATCTTGTACCTTTACATGAAGGGTCTTGGTTCTCATTTTTTTCCCTTGCCCCTGCCTTCCCTTCCCCCCCTCTCCACCCTTTCCTATTTACAAATACTTTATTTCCATTTTCTCATGTTTTTTTCTTTTCCCTTATTTCCTTTCCCCTACCCTTCCCACTCCCCCTACACCTTTAGCACTTTTCTTCCTATTTCACATTGTCAGTTATCCAATTAGGATATTATGTACCATTACAGTTTTTCACACCAGAGAAACTATTCGGTATTTATACATGTGTGACTTATTTATTTCACTTAGGAGTATATCCTTAATGTGTATCCATTTTCCTATGAATGATTCTAATTTCTCATTCTTTATGGCTGATAGAAAAACATCTTTTTTTATCCAGTCTCCAACTGATGGGCAAATGGGCTGTCTCTAAGTCTTAGCTATTACAAACTGTGCTGCTATAAACATAGGTACACATATATCTCTGTGATAAGGTTGTTTTAATTCTTTTGGAAAGATACCCAGCACAGGGATGGCTAGGTCAAATGGAACCTCTAGTCCCAGCTCTTTGAGGTATCTCCACATTGAGTTCCATAGTGGTTGCACCAGTCTGCACTCCCATCAACAATGTTCTCCATTGGGTTCCTTTCTCGCCACAACCCCACCAACATTTGCTATTGGTTGATTTCTTGATAGCAGCCATTCTTTGTGGGGGAATGTCAGTGTTGTTTTCATCTGAAACTCTCAAATGACCAGTGATGTGGAACATTTTTTCAAATATTTACTTGATGCTTTTGCTTCTTTGTCTGAGAAATGTCTGTTCATTTCAGATGCCAATTTTTGAATCGGGTCTTTATATTGGGGGGTGATTTTTTTGAGTTCTTTATATATTCTAGATAATAGTCCTTTGTCTGAGGAGCAGCTGGTAAAATTTTTTTCCCACATTGTAGGTTGTCTTTTAGTTCTTTTGATGGTTTCTTTTGGCGTGCAGAAGCTTTTTAATAAGATGAGATCCCAGTTGTTGATTCTTTCTGCTAGTTCCTGTGATACTGAGGATTTGTTCATAAAGTCTTTTCCTATACCAATGTCTTCAAGAGTTCTGCCTAACTTATCTTTCAGCAGATTTAGCGTCTCTTTTTTAATATTTAGATCTTTAATCCACTTGGATTTTATTTTTGTGCCTGGTGAAAGACAAAGGTCTAGCTTTAATCTTTGGCAGGTTGAAATCCAGTTTTTCCAACACCATTTATTAAAGAGTCTATCTTACCTCCAGTGAGGATAGTTGGCTCCTTTGTCAAAGATGAGGCAGCTGAGTACATCTGGAGTTGTTTCTGTATCTTCCAATCTATTCCACTGATCCTCAGGTATGTTTCTTTGCCAGTACCATGCTGCTTTTACCACAGTGGCTTTGTAGAATAGTTTCAAATTGGGAATTGTTATACCTGCTGCCATGTCTCTGTTGACTAAGATGGCTTTTGCTATTCTAGGTCTCTTCTGGTTCCAAATGAATTTTTGAATTATTTTTTTCTAGTTCTGTGAAATCTAGTGTTGGAATTTCAATCAACATTGCACTGAATCTGTATAGCAGTTTTGGTAGTATGGCCATTTTCACTGTTGATTCTTCCTACCCAGGAACAAGGGATATCTTTCCATTTTCTTTATTTTTCTTTCCATTTTCTTATGTCCTCTTCGATCTCTTTTTTCAGAGTTCTGTAGGTTTCAGTGTAGGGGTCTTTTGCTTCTTTCGTTAGATTGATTCCTATATACTTCATTTTTTGGGGATACTATTGTGAAAGGAATTATCTTCCTAATTTCTTTTTCAGTGAGTCTGTTATTTGTGTATACGAAAGCTATTGATCTTTGAGTGTTGATCTTGTATCCAGCTACTCTGCCAAAAGTGTCAATTAAGTCTAGAAGCCTTTTGGTGGAATTTTTGGGGTCTTCATTGTAGAGTATTACATCTTCATCAAATAATGACCGCTTAACTTCTTCCTTTCCTATCTTTATTGTTTCAATTTCTTTCTCTTGTCTAATTGCTATGGCTAATGTTTCCAAAACTGTATTGAAGAGGAGTAGTGATAGTGAGCATCCTTGTCTTGTTCCTGATTTTAACATGAAGGTTTTCAATTTTTTGGCCATTTAATATGATGTTGTCTGTTGGTTTTTCATAGGTAGCCTTTATTAAATTGAGATATAGACCATCTATTCCAATTTTTTGCAGGGTTTTTATCATGAACGGGTGGTGAATTTTGTCAAATGCTTTTTCTGCATCTATTGAGAGGATCATATGGTTTTTGTCCTTGACTCTGTTAATTTAGTGTATTGCATTTCTTGACTTACATATGTTGAATCATTCTTGCATCCCTGGAATAAATCAGACTTGGTCAGGATGCATGATCTTCTGGTGATCCTCTGTATTCTGTTTACTAGTATCTTATTAAGGATTTTTTCATCTGTATTCATTAAAGAGATTGGCCTGTAGTTCTTCAAAGTTGTGATGACTTAGCTTCCCAGAGTACAGGATTCTAGGTGAGCACTACTGTACTTGGCTAATATGAAGTATCTAATGCTCATTTGATATTGGTAGCTATCAAAGCAAATAGCAAAAGTTTCACCGGGTTTCTACAAATAAATAATTTGAAAAACAAAGTAAACCAAAGCAATAAACAAAATGTTTTTTCATTGTGATTAGCATTTTTGCCCAACTCACATGGGACATTTAAGTCCAGACACTGGTTACTGGTGCACACAGCTAACTTCTGTTCCTCCTTGCCACTGGGCTGTCCTTGCCCCATCTTTGTACCTGTGTTGTCCTCATGTGAGACCACTCAGATATGGCAAGGCAAGACCAGGTTATGGCTAGGCACAGACCAAGAGTGGATGTAGGCAGTCCATAGGAATTCTGTTGGATCTGTGGGCTTGTTGCATGGCCCAGCCTCCTGACATAAACAGAAAAGACCAGCCTGAGTTCTGCTCCAGCCCCATCCCAAATAGTCTTGAGAGCCTGGAAAAGTCAACTAGCCTGCCAAAGCCTCCATTCTGCAGAAGTCTAGTGGAATGAAAAGCAAACCATCTCATCCATGACACTGCATTGCTGCTGAAGGGAGGAAATAAGTGAGGTTAGGCAGATCCTGAAGAGTTAATCTAAAGTAAACTAAAATACCAAACAGATTCCATGGTGTGAAAAACTAAAAGTATAAATAAGGTTCAAATTGTATAATTGATAATGTGAAATAGGAAGTGTAGGGGAATTGGGAAGGGGAGGGGTGAGGAAAGAGGGAAAAGAAAAAATATGAGAAAAGGAAAAAAATGGAAATAAAGTCTTTGTAAATAGAGCAGAGTGGCAGGGGTGAAGGGAGGGCAGGGGTAAGGGAAAAAAATAAGAACCAAGATATATCATGTAAAGGTACGAGATGCCAACGATAAATGTAACTGTATTGCATATCTCAAATGTACCAATAAATTTAATGAAAAAAAAAATAGAGGGTTAAGTCAGTTACCATACCAGAGGGCCCAAATTATTAATTTAAGCAAACTGACTATCCTGGTGAATGGAATACAAGGGACAAGGAACAAATTCCCAAACAAAAGAAAGAGAGACCTTTGAAGAAGAGAAATGTAAACAAAGCAGCTTGCACTCTGGACATCAAAGGCCTTCCTGCAACCAGGATCATCCCTGCTTTCTGTATACCAAAAACTATACAAAGGTCCCAGAGTCTGAACTTCCTCAGTATTCTCCTTAATGGAACCCTCTCCAACTAGCAAAGAGTTTTATTATTAGTTCTTCCTAATGAAAACACATCTGTCCATTCTCCATCTCTTGCTGCTTGCTGTTATGTTGGCCTCAATCTACAGGGATCCAAGAGCTAGAGGGACTGGTTTCACTGTGATGGGTTAAATGAGATTAGGATGTAGCGTGTCACCATCATAACTGTAGAAAATGACTGATCAGTAAATTTTGACCATTCTTATTTTTATTCTTACAAATAGGGACCACACACTCAGCTGGATGATGGCCTCCTGTTCTGCTCATGTACTTGTTGCTGGCCTGGTTTCCCTTTGCCCCGACTCTGGACTCGGATGCTGTTTGCCTCTTCCCATCAAAGAGGCTCTGGGTACTGACCCACAGCTGATGCCTTCCAGGCCCCCTCCAGACACCCTGTGCAGCTGGACCTCTAGTAAGCAGCTCTGCTCTGTGCTCCAGGCCCCAGGGTACTTGATGCTTTCTTCACTGACCGTGGTTTTAGGCAGTGAGTGCCTTCAAGGCAGGAATAAGTTCTCAACCTACTCTACAGCCCCTGCAGGCAGTGAGTCACAGGACTGCTCTGGTACTTGTCAGTCAGATGCATGAAGCCCCAGATATGCACAGCAGAGCACAAACTCTACTTCCTCTGCATTCTTCCCTGTTGTACCTCCAAAGCTGTGCTGGTCAAACACTCAGTTTGAACAGATTTGTTTTTCTTAAATGATCCTTCATGCCAAAAATACATTTACCAAATAAATGTATTAATTTCTTTTGAAATCACTTCAGTTGGATACAACACTCTCATTTAGCAGATATTTACACAATTATTGAGTGGTGGTATTGTGACAGGCCTTTGTTAGAGAGTTCTTGCATGGACAGAACCTCAAATTCTACTAGGGAAAGAGATGCTGAGCATCTAACCAAAAATATGTTTGGTAAATTCATTTTCATGAAAGTTACCAAAATAATCACCATCATAATAAAATAATTGGCAGAGCAATGGACTTTGATTGTGTGTGTGTGTGTGTGTGTGTGTGTGTGTGTGTGAGCATGCACATGCTCATGTGTGTGTGCTGCAGAGGGAATAAAGCCTGAATGGTAAAAAAGAGCTTTCCTATAGAGAAATAATATATTCAAAGGCCCTGGGGCAGGAAAAGAGTCTTTGTATGTCAGAGGCAGCAAAGAAGCTAATATACTAGAGCACAGAGTGAAAATGGTGAGGGTAAGGGGTAGACAGTTATCTCCAGTGCTCAGAGTGCCACATTTCCTCACAGGCCAAGCACAGGCTTCCCTCTTCGGACCCAGCATGTTGGTGCTGATGACTGTTACGAATCTTGGGCCATTAGCATTCACAGAAATGGGCATTTTGGGTAGAACATAAGTAAGCATCCCCTTAAACAAGAAAGACTCTGTCTTTAAAGCATGCAAACACAGGGTAGAAAAGACTTATCAAAAAAGAATACAGTTGTCTTCAGTCTTCTTACTGAAATTCCATTAACCAAAGGAGATGAAACCCCTAATGCAGAGGAAGAGAATGGAAATCATACAGCACATTTAGCACCTGCAGGAATTTGTTCCCGGCCCTTGTTTATTTGGGGGGACATTCATGCCCATGGACATTTATTTATACGGAGGGATGAAAGAAATGTCTCCCTTCCCTCTTTGAAGCCTAGAATCTTTAAGTCTGCCAAAATAAAGTGGCACTAAGCAGAGTAGCAGGAGAACAAGTATCACATTTGTTTATGGGCCTAAGGGCACCACAGAAAGTTGATACCTAGTAACCTAGTGAGGTCCAGAAGCTTATATACTCTTTTTCAAAGAAGAGAGGAAAATGGGGACCATGGGCAATGTTAGAGGAAGAGAAGGACCTGGAACAAATTCCTGCTTCATTAAGGTGGTGAAATAAGGGCTGGGAAATTTCAGATCCATGAGTATGGAAAGTGAGGGCCCATAGCTGGCCATCTTTCTCCTTCCTCCCTCTTCCCATGCCCTCTTGCCCACAACCCAACATTTTCAACCTTTAGAAATGACAAGGAAGCCCCTTGCTTGGCTGGGAATCTAGTGGGCAGCTTCTGAAGGCTGTGGGACCAGAGTGATTGTTTCTTTCTGAGCCTTTCCAGTAGCTTGGGCTGCTCCCCCAAACCTCCTCCTGAGTTTCTGGCTGCTGACCTTCTAGCACATTCCCACAGCCAGATTCCTTCATGGCAATTGCAGGAACATCCCTGAAAGTCCCACGGGGCCCCAGCCTAGCCAGCATGTTTCCTGGAACAGGAGCCATCTGCTGGGAGCCACAACCCACACGGTTTCCCAGACTCTGAGCCCCAGGCGATTTCCGGTGTGGAGTGGCGCTGTGAGCCACGTGGCGCCCACGTGCCCCCAGCTCCACTAGCTGACTCCCAGGCTGAGAGGGCTGGGCCTGCCAGGACTGCTTTGCCAGACTTGATTCCAAGATCTTCAGGAAGTTTGCAAACTCACTGCTACACCCAGTCATTATCAAAAATTGCATAAACCATGGGGTAAACAAGTTGAATCAACAACAAAGGTAGTGGAGACTTGGCATTTAGCACTTCCTGCTTGGGCCCATTTTATGATTCCCTGTATGGTGGGTACCTATGTTTCTCTCCTAGGTCTATCACAGTGACCTGGAGTGGTGGTAGCATGAAGTGGGCAGGGGGGTGGGTGGTTACACCACGGCAATCAGTAAATGCTATAGGTCAGTGCTTTGTGATTGGGACAATTGTTTGCTAACACTTGTGTACTTGTACTGAATTAGAAGTAAATGAAACTGAGTGATCATCATGTTTGAATGCTGTGCACATGGGCCTGAGCTGCTGCACCTCTGTCCACCCTGACGCCCTTGGCTCCCCTTCAGTGGTCCCCCTCCCTTGTCCCCTCTGCCACTCGCTCCCCACCTCCTCCACTGGGCAGGTATGCTGTCATTCTTGTCAGTAATTTCACTTCCCTGTACCTCTCAGCTGGGTGCTGCCCCCTTTCTCTCCCCCCTGGAGTCCCACTTCAGTCCCTCCCTGTCCTCTTGATTCTCCTGTCGCAAAATCCCCTGGACCGGTTTCCTCACTCTCATCTGACCTTCCAGGCAGTGCTAATGGTACTATTGCCAATATTGTCCCGGAGAAGAGCGGCGACCATCTGCTCCGCCCCTACTCTGTCCACGCTCTGCTTCTGTGTGAACTGGGTGCCCATGACTCTCATGTATGTATCGCCCTGGAGTCCCCAGGTCCCCTTTTTGTACAGGTCTCATGTCATTCTGACATGAGAGAAACTAGTAGTGAGGGACGTGACTGCAATTTAGTCCTGGGAGAGAACGTTTCAGCAACCACTATAAGCAGGGTGAGAGAAGACAGGGGACGATATTTCCCTAGACTTCAGAGAACTTTCCACCTCAAAGTGTTTTGAATCAAACTGCCTGCCCCCAAGACAGCCTCTTGTACCATAGGTACTGGTTTTAGCGCCACCCCATTCACTCTTCAGAGCTGACCCTGGGGTAACTTTATTCCTCTGCATGTGCTGGGAAGCCTGAGGAGCTGGTGCTCTGGAAGCTACTCCCCACTTCAACCTTTACACCTCTGGGCTACTAATTGTCTCCTCACTTGCTGGAGGCAAAGCAGAAGGTTTGGAGACTTTGAGACCTGGGCTGGTCCACTCTCGGCTTCCTCCTTCTGCTGTGTGTCTCAGCTTCCTCATATGAAACGTTAGAATGGTCATACATACCCAGAGGTTTGCTTTAGAGTAATGGCAGACAAAAACATCACCAGGACAGTACCTAAACCTTGGTGGGTACCAAGTCACGGTCAGGTCCTGGCTCCTCTTCCAAGGGCATCCTTCCCAGTGTCCAGGGGGAAACTATGCATGTGCATTAGTCAGCTTTCCTGTTACTGTGACACAATGCCTGACACTTATAACTTAACAGAGTAGAGGTTTGATGTGGCTCATGGTTTCAAGGGAGTCAATGCCTAATTGGCTGTTCCAAGTAGAAACATCCTAGCTGAAGGGCCTGGCCTGGTGAAACAATATAGCTTAGCTCATGAAGACAGCCAGGAAGCAGAGCAGAGAAATGTGCCGGACAGAAAGGGGTCAGGGACCATATATGGTACCCAAGGTCACATATCCATGACCTACTCAGACAGTGTGCTTTACTAATCCCCTGTATGGCTTGAAGCCAATCAACTTGCAATTAATCTTAACCGTCACAGAGTGTGAGGGGAAAACATGTGTTACTTATATTACCAGCTAGTTCAGGACTTTACTTCAGTGATAAAAGAAATTAAACCCTGGCTGCCTAGAACATAATGAATTTACAGGCAGAAGTTTTAATTGGAAAGGTTATTATAGGAAAGAAACATAGCTCACTGTCCAGTAGGCAGCCCCTACCAGACATAGAAGTTAAGGGCAGAGGTCTCTGGACAAGGTAGAGTTTAGTTACTGCACAGATGTGAATTTACACCTGGTCTAAAGTGTGCTATATCCTTCCTTTGGGAGGAGATTTTATTAGGGAAATGAAATGAAAGTAAATGAAGCTTAGGGTCAGTTTTGGTTGGATCTGTGGCTACCTTTACTTGCATTGGTTCCATCCTGTTTGCCTTTGCATCCTTTCTCGTCTCTGGGACTACAGTGTCTTGCTCACTTAACTGGCAACCTGAATTACCTTCTTCTCTTGTTCCCTGAATTTACTTACAGATGCTTGTTTATTCTTGAGCTGCTATTTCCAAATTCTGTCAGTATACCAGTCTCAACTATACCTTCCCCACCTCCACCAAGATTTCCTTGCTGTACAGGGTGAGAGAAGTGAGGTGAGCTTTAAACTCAAATAACTTAGCTTTTAAGGGGTATGGATTTGTGATATTTCTTTTCATTTCTTCACTGATATTGAAAGATCTCTATGGAATTATAAAACCTACGTGATAATATAGCAGAGAAAAGCGAGTGTTTTGCAAGTTTAGGGGAAGGATTGCCATACAGTTTTGCACACCCACCATGTGATACCATTTCAATTTCCCTCATACTATTATCCATTCTCCCTCAAATTATTCTAGGGTGAAGATCAGCGTCAGCAAAACAATGATAACAGATGAATTTGTAAACGATTCGGGGAGTAAGTTGTAGTAGCCAGGATGAAAGGGACACTTGCCTTGGTGACTCTCACTTTCTTCTCCTGTCTCCAGAGTTGGAGTCTATGACGAATGGTGGATTGACCAAACTCAGAGCTTACCAAGGGCCCATCGGAGTGACATCAATCACCTTAACCATGTTGTGACCTTGCTTCCCACGTGTCTCCCTCACTGTCTGTTTTCTGGACATCCTGCTGGCTGTCACACTTAAGTGCTTTCTTCAGAACCCCCTGTGCCTTCAGTTGCCCTCCTTCCTCCCTTTCTGCCCTCCATGTTCTACCCTTGTCCCTCTCTTTTCCCTCCCCCCCAGTACCCATCTTCGACTCAGCATTACCGCCTGCATCTACTCCAGATTTGTGATCTAAACAAGTTTGCCAGTTCTTCCAGTTGTCTGCACACCCAACAGGCCTCAGCTTCAGGCCAAATGGCAGTCCAGGGCTCCTGGGTCTCGAACCTGTGTCCCATATAGGCTGGCGCCCCCAGGTGCTCAAGTGCCCAGTGGTGCTCAGTCCCAGCCAGCCCAGTTTGGTTATTCCCAGAGAGCCGTGTCCCAGGCAGTGGGTGCCATCTGTATCACAGAATTTCTCATGGTTGACAGTGGTGTGCAGAAATTTTTAGTGGTAAGATGCAAATGAAAATGAGAATGTGAAACAAAGAGAAAGAACTTTCCCCTTGGGGCTGTGGCCCATGCCAGGGAAACAGGGATATTGTCAACATTGGAGTGTGTGTTTAGAGTGACAAGAGAGGTGCAGAACAAGGGTGACCAGGCAGGACCTGCCATGAAGCTTTGCCGAGAAGGGGGAAGACGAGACCCACCAGCAGGTGATTAGGGCAACTTTGGGCATTGTCACTGTCCCTGGCAGAGGA